CCTCATTTGCGTTCGTGCTGTGAGTTTCTTTGTCGCACCCCATCCCTCTTAGCCTCTCCCTCCAACCACGATCTCATTATTTAGCTTTATATAATTTTGCATAGTAATATTTCTGGTGCACAGCAGCCGGCTGGTAGCTTAACGGAACGATGCCCATCCGTTACCGGTAGCTCAGCCAGCTTGCAGCAGTTGCTTTTTTCTCTCCCCTTTTTTCTATGCATTGCGGCACAGTAGCTGAGGTGTTTTCCACATCTAGTTAACGTGTAGTATGATGATGAATCAACCAACGATGACTCAGCCTTGGAGCTGAGAACAATGCCCAATCCAGCCTGACTAGTGGTTGCCGCTTCAGCATCTACGGATGCGTGCAGCCAATAGCGAAAGGACAAGCCTGGTGCAGTTAGTTCAATAATCCCGTGACGGTCATGATTCTAGTTTCGGACACTAAACACACATCAATGCCTATTATATCCAACGTGCGAGCGAGTGCAGCCTATAGACTTATTTCTCTTAGGATGCGAACGCTGAACGCCACGATGGAAACAGGACAGCGTGGCCCTGTAAGGGGTTGTTGGCGAATGCCTTCCAGTGGATGGTGCGGAAAGATGGCTGCAGATGGTATGACTACAGTGGAAATGCGGCTGCTGTCGATCAAGCAGGGAAGGAAAGAAAGAAAGGCACCAACAGTAGCTGGCTGGCCCAACAACCTCCTCGTGGTGCCAGCTGGGTGGTTCGAAACTATCCCGCTGCAACGAATGGTTTGGCGGCAATGTTCCATGACGTAATGGGTCTTCGCCTTGGTAAGCGTTCTCCCTATGAAAAGCCAGGTATGTCCGCTTAACAACATTATAATGTGGCGGATGTGACTCGTCACTAAATAAAGTCATTGTCCCTTGTATCTTCCTGAGTGGCATTGTAACTTCAGGGTGTGTTGGGTCCCTGGTACTTCGCAGGACCACTTGTTTGGTCACTGGCTCCCAAAAGGTTGCGACGCTTTCCTATCGCCCTGATGCCTTGTAGGTTAAATCTTTGATCAAAGGCTCGGGGTAGGGCTCCTTAAGACAAGCCTCTACTTCGGCCTGGGCAAAGGGGTAGTATCGCGCCCACTGATGAATCATGAACGGACAATACTACTGCCTTATCTCTTGCTATACCAACCTACTCTACTGTTCCTACTGCTGAATCTCCACTCACAGAGCGTCCCACGTTCCATTAATCTACTATACTTATGTTCTCTCTAGTCGCCGCCAACAGCAGCCCAGTGCTCGCACCTGACGTAAGTCAGAGTCAAACTCTTGGCGTACAATGAACGGCGACCACAGCGTTTTCACACTCCACCGAAGCCCCAGCTTTTCTTCGATCAGGTTCCACATCCAGCCTCGCAGCGTCCAATGGTCGCACTGATGCAGATCGGACGGTAAGCAAGCCTGACCCGCACTCTTGAGACGCTCTTCGTAGACACCCGTTGTCTCTCAGAAAACAGATTGCAAGACTCCATTACCGTAAACAGAATGGCCGCTCCTGTAAACCCTGGCGTTAAATACCATTTGCGACCGTCCGGAGACCCAGAGGCTGTTGCTTCTGGCCAGGCTGGTGTTGGGTTTGCTCAGAGTGACAAGGCTGAGTCCGCTCTGCTTGACTGGATCCTGTGCTGGTGGCTGAAAGCTGAGGCGGAGGGACTCGCCTGCCACAGTGCGGTCGATCAGGCGATCGATCGAGTGGGTGAGTGAGTTTTTAAATACACAGCTAGTTGTACTTTTCCTCAGAATTGTGAATGGAACGGTAGTGTGCTGTACACGCATGTCTTGCTGCTCCTGACGCGGCTAAGTGAACCAGGCACAAAACATGGTGACAGAGGTGCTGACGTACCAAACCCCGCTCGCATTTGACGCACAAACGTTTCCAACCTCTAGCTGATGTGCATGATGATGATGATGACCTGCTACAAATGACAGAAAGCATCTTAACGGATTTCTGGAGGGCGTGGAAAGCGAGATGGATTGATTTCGATAAGCTGATCGCGTTAGATGAATATCCGAGATCATATCAAATAGTGATGTTTAGCTACTGCATTGACTAAGATGCGAGACGGATATTAGAAACCTGAGACTTATGTGATTATGACGAAGAACCGGAACTTTCACAAATAATCGAGAGCTTTGGTGATTATTGAGGGCCGATCAGACCAATTCGTTTGCTGCTGCCGATCGGACAATGTCAGCTCACTTAATATTTAAAGTAGGCAAGAAAAGCAAAAGATTTCCATAAACAACAGGTGGAATCTCGAAGACCATGAAAGGATTATTGCCAAACCGTCAATTGAAGAACGATCAATACCGTTAGAAGTTGATTCAACAGCCACAGTGAGTACACTGTTCGAGACACACTGCACCGGAGTGCAACACCGAGTTGTCATAAAGGGTGGAACAACTTGATGATACATCCGAAAGGAAAGGCTGTGGCGAAAGTTTGCAAGAAGGCAACGAATCAACTTATAACAGTAAGAAAGGCACATCCGGATCCTTATGTAATGCTACCTAGAAAAATACCCCAAGCGAATTCGATAACAATCCGTTACACCTTTTATTCAAGCACAAAGCAAACCGAAAGCTCGCACGCAGTGGAAGAGGTTACGGCAACTGCAACACACGAGCAAAGAAAAAAGAGAAAAATGAAGGATGTGTTGGTGGCTGAAAGCTGAGGCGGAGGGACTCGCCAGCCTCAGTGCGGTCGATCAGGCGATATATGGTTGGCGGCATCCGGTTTCGGATTTGCCTGTCACTGTGGCCAGACACAGCACGCCTGCGCCTACAGAGGGACCATGGGTGGCCTGCGCTGCACCACCCACAGCTCCAACCACACACCCCATATCCAGTGTAAACCCGAAGGAATAAGACCGGGAGGCACGTGGATGGGAGCCACCTTCCATCAACGGAGCCGGCCCACACTCCTTCACAGGCAAACACAAGCACACTGTATTTGGGAAATCAACCGCACACAAGGCGGTGGCTGGACCGTAGTCCGCTCCACACTGAGTGCATGGAACCACTCTTCGAGCCTAGCACGGCCACAAGGACCGTGCACCCCGTCCCCTCCAGCAACGACCAACTGTCTCCTGGAGCCAGTATGGACGAGGTAGTGGGTAATAGACAGGTAGGCACCTTGTCAACATGCACATCAAGCGCAGCCACATCGGGGATATCAAGCAACAGCCAATCATTTGAAACGACAAAATGAAATAAAATAAATCCAATAATGCATACAGATACGGTGGCATAACTCTTCGCCAAATCAGCATATGAAGTAAGTTGGTTAGCAATGAATCCGCGATAAGGAAAAAATGTCTACAAGTTACTCAAAAATGCTACAAACGCAACAAAATTACCGAAGATAAGCGCAATTAGCGTAAACAACGTGGCCAGCTAATAAAAGATTATCCAGATAGGCAAAACAAACCAAATAAACTGGAATGAAATTTATGCAGCTTAAAGAGACCTAGTTTAAGTGTAAGTTGGTTTAGCTCAACTGCGGTGAAGAAGCATCAAGAATGCAACATCAGCCTCAGGCGATACATATATATATATATATATATATATATATATATATATATATATATATATATATATATATATATATATATATATATATATATATATATATATATATACCTTGCTGTCTGTAGCACTGTGTTTGAACTATGTGTTTGAACTATGATGCAAGAGCCATGATTGTACGTGGTCTGAGATACTGACAGGGCGCCCCGACCTAGACAGGAGGATGATTAAGGTCTCAAACAAAGCCCTTGGATCAAAAGCCTGTCCACAAGAGGATTGATGTAGCAGCAATTTGGCTTTACAGAAATGGACGCCATTCCATTTCCCACCCCCACCTGGAGGACAAGGATACTGAGTTCGTCCGACCTCTAACTATTGACCAATATGTAGAGTAGCTCTAAAGAGGCCCGTGGGATTCACACAGTATAGCTCAATTAGTTGGCGTGGTACGCAAACCGTCGCACCAGTTAAGGCCCGGTTTCGCTTCGACCTCCTTTCTTGAAAGAAGGCTCAAGAATAGGCAGTTTCGCGCATGGTGACGCCCAAAGCTTTCAAACTACAAAGATTAGTGCTAGATGAAACTTATCCCGGAGAAGCAAACTGTTCGCAAAGCGGACTTTGTTTGTGGACTGCGATTGTGAACAGTAAACGGAATAAAATGTGTTGCTGCAAAAGTAATTGCGTTAATGAGTACAAATAACTATGTGCATCGCCGGAACAGAAAGCTATTGCCATATAAACCAAATGTGTTTTGATGGAACGAAAGCACGGTTCTTCTCGCTTCTACCAATAAAAAATAACACCCATTTGATCTCCGCTTTTATTAGATAACAACAAGCTTTCATTTAGTGATAGTGATGTGGCTTTACCACTTGCCCGCAGATGTCCGTTTCTGTGTACTGCAGACGCGAATCATAGAAAGACTTTCGGTTATAACCACGGAAAACATAGAACCACTCCCAGTGGTGGCAACAACCGGTAATGTTGCACTAAGGGGAGGCGTGGCTCAAGGTCAAACAATCTGTTGGACTCAAACTAACCCATCTGATGGGACTAGTTGGCTACGGTGTTGAGAGACACCGTACCTTGACAGGGAGAGATGATGACAAATAAAAGAAGAACAAAAGAGCTGTTTGGATCGATCTCAGTGATAGATGTAAGTACGAATTAAAGTGCCACAGTAATGAAATTATGGGAGCTCCGCTTTATTTGCGTACTTCAAAGCGACGATATTTCAGCCCTATCCTGTAGCTAGTATTTCAGAGATTTGTTCCCTTCAAGATCACCAGAAAGTGTCACCGTAGTGGAGATCTCACAGTTCATCTCACTGCTGCTCAACGCATGGATAACAGCCAAACAGAGCTAGACATCCAAACGCACTATACCGTGAGTGTAGGCGGCAAACTGATCTACAGGATGATAGAGTGTACAATAAGAATAACTCACTTCATAGCGAGCGAGGTGTCCTGCATCAGTTCACCAAAGAAAGCTATTTTGAATTCGTAGCGGACGAATAAAAGCTTGGGGACGAATATGGATGAGAAGTCAGGAAAAAAGGCGTCATCACAGATTCACAACAGGAAGGTCATTGTGAGGAATTTAAACCAAAATATAAGCGCGAATGTAATTACCGAAACAACTGTTATTGCAATGAGAAATAGGCGTTGATAGACGTTTAGCGTCCATAGTCTCAACTCACGTGAAAACGCGAGGCGTCACTCCTATCCTGTCGATAAGCCGATGTCCAGTCAAGCGGTTGGAGGACGGTTGTCGGGTCCAGAAGCCCCGTTTCGTTTCAACAACAATGGGTAACATCAACATCTCACGTCGGTTCAGCTGATTCAGCAAGCGGAAGTGTCGCAGTAGGTGTGCTAAACTCCTCTCCAAAATGTTCCGCCCAACGCGCTAATCGACGAGGCTGAGAATGAATCAACTGTCCATCTTTCTCAGTTATTGTCTTACTGAAGGCTCTCTTGAACCCGTGTTCCAGGTGAGTTGGAATAGCACTCGGCTGTTCCCAATTTCTCCAACTCAAAGGCCATCGACACCCACCAGCGTTCCCGGTCGATTCAAAGATTCCCTGTCAGACATTGTTTCAGGGAGTAACGGACACGTCGAAATCCATTTCCCACTGGAACCTGTTTCCTTGTTTCGATCAAACAGATCGATGCCTCAGAGGTTCATGCCCAGTCACGACGTCTCAAGTTGGGTGCACAGCAGGCGTCAAAGACATTCGTCATGGCACATTTGAGACGATCGCAGTCAGTGTTCGGCTCAGTGATCTCATTCATCACCGATATTTGGTTGGCTAGTACATTATAAGATTGTTGAACTGCAGAATGCGAGTTCAAGTTACAGGTAAGGTTAGAAGATAGGCGCTTCTTTGAAGCTGGAAGTATGAGCGTCAGACGTGCGCGCACTAGAGCATGGTCGGAATCCAGACAGGTGCTCCAAAATGACCGACAGCCTTGAACAGATATGCTCCATCTATAGCTGATAGTAGTGAGGTCAATTTAGGTTTAGGTAATCGAGAAATTCGGTAGGTGCCAGATGACCCGATTTGAACATTTGTGCTGGAAAGCAATGCTTCTAGGAGAAAGATAGTGGCCCGTGTATAGTTGTATGAATCGATCACCATTGTATGTTCTGCGTGTATAGACTCCGAAGCTGCCTCCTAAGTGTAGTTCATGTCAATATGTCTTGTCATACAGAGAAGAGATGAGAGCTGAAGATAGAAATCATCTTTGATACAATCCGAACTGCAGTCAGTGTGGGTATAAACGGAAGCGATGAAAAAGAACCGTGTCTTCAGACGGTGCTTAGTAACTCCATTAGAGGTTCGAAGTCGAACAGCACACATACAGCTGTTCACCGATATCCAGTCGAGTAAACTGCCTTCCGCAAGTTAGCTGAAGGCGATTTTCGAGAATGATGAAACCCCCTATTTTGCCCAGAGCTTTGAGAAGAAAGCGGTGAGTTCTCGAACCAGCAGAGTCCCCATCTTCAAATAGAGCAGGGGGCAGACCACCAGGGCGGGGTGCCTTATAACGCTTTAGGCAGCAGAGTCCCCGCCAGATTTCCTGGTGAGAGAGAGGATCAGTTGGATTTGTCCACTGATCACCAGTGCGCGCCCCAGGGGAAACAGATAGAGCTGGCGGCCAAGAAAACAAAATGGGTAAACAGACATTACCAGTCGTTAGTCCAGGAGCGAGTTAAATACTGGCAGTGGCTGTCCGTTGGGTTACGACAACTGACCTCGCGGGTCAGAGGTCGTCAAGCGTTTGGGCCAGGGTAGTCTCAACCCTCTTAGTTAGCTTATTCTGGAGACACAGTGCCAGTGAACTCCGATAGTGAAACTGAACTCAGAAAATAAGAGACCTGTCCACACTGGTTCAATGTGTATTTATTCCTTTTCCTGCGCCTGTGAAGCAGAATACATTGGTCCTACGACATGGCGTCTATCCGAGCGAATGAAGAAACATCACCCGGCCTCGCTTGGAACTGGAAGCAGGAAACCAGTCAGCTGCTCAATAGCCGCGCACCTCGCTGACACAGAGCATGCCACTAAATCAGCTAACTCTCTCAAAATTATCTATCAAGCCAAGGCGAACCGATCGAACTACGTGCGTAAACAAATACTAGAAGCTACTGGGGCAATTACGATTCGACTGTATGACCCGGAGCTGTATATCCAGAAGAAGCTAACTAGAGGGTTTGGACTACACTAGCCCAAACGGCTGACGACCTCTGATCCGCGAGGTCGATTGTCTTAACCTAACAGACAGCCACTGTCAGTATTTAACTCGGTCCGGGACTAGGGACCGGTAATGTCTATCTACTCATTTTGTTTTTATATGTATATAACTGTAGAAGCCTGATGAGGAAGTATCGAAAAGATACGTTCGCTTACACTGACTTCTGATCTTGATATGGGGTTTTTAAAAAATGAGAAATAATAATGATAGTGTATGGGCAACCAGATTGAATAGGTTCGTTGGAGCCTACTTAGCTCAGAAGAATATGCCCATTCAATCCTGCTTAGAACGGTCAGAAAACATGTACAGGAGATAAGTGGGATTGGAGGAAAGAGAGACTGTTTGATGAAGACTGTTCTCCAAAAAAGAGAACTGAGCTGCCTACAATCAACTGGGCAACAAGTAGCAACAAGTTCATGGACTAGATTGGCGCCTCAATTATCTGAAGCACACTACAGAACAGAATCGCCATCTGATGGATGGCTACATCGTCGCATTTGACAGGTGAGAGAACGCAGGGCGAAATGGTGTTTAAATGGTAGCAACGTAACGTTGAGAAACGACGTGCTGACTGCTATTCTCAACGCTTAAAAAGCTACGAGAACTCGGTCGCAGATACGGAATGGTGGTCCTACACATGTAGCAGAATAACAGCCATTCATATGAAAGTTCTAGCGCGAGAAAATGCAAAAGGCAAATTTTGACTCTTCGATTGCAGAATGAAGATTCCGTGTAGCCTCATCGGGGAAACTCTTGGCAAATAGAATGTGTGTTCATGTGACAAGGAGAACAGCCGGGCCTAATCGTTCATCATCATCGTCATCATCATCATCATCATCACCATCATCATCATCATCATACACGTCAGCTAGAGGTGGGAGGCACCTCAGCTACTGTGCCGCAATTCATAAAACAAAACGGAAATAAATACAACAGTTGCATGCCAGCTGAGCTACCAGCAACGGATAGGCATTGTCCCGGTAGGCTACCAGCCGGCTACTAGGCAAAAAGAAAAATTATCATGTTTTACGCGACGAAATGAGATCGTGGGTGGAGGGGGAGGCTAAAAGAGATAGGGAGGGACAAAGAAACTCACAGCACGAACGCAAATGAGGTTGGCTGCTTGCTATGTCAGCAAGTGTATCCAGCCAATCGTGTTCACCGTCTTTCGGACCCCAACCAGGGAGCCGAGACGCTCCAACTGAGGCCAGCTCCGAAGTGAGGGTCTTCATTCCCCTGGACCAAGTCATCGCTTGGCCACCCCTACTCTTCTTCCATCCACATCCCCGGTGAGCAAACAACGCACGTCGTGGAAGCCGGTGAGCTGGCATGCGCAACACGTGGCCCAGCCATCGGAGTCTGGTGCGTGAAATGACAGTGCTGAGCGCTTCAATTCCTTTTCCTGCGCCGTAAACGGCGTCGAACACGCTCGTTACTCACGCGGTGTTCCCACCAGATGTGAGTCAAACTGCGAAGGCATCGATGGTCGAAGGTAACTAGCCTCTTCATGTCAACCAATCTTAGGGGCCAGGTTTCGCAACCGTACAGTTGGGTCGAACGTACCGCTGCATTGTACCCTCTACCCTTCAGGGCAAGAGTGATGTCGCGCCGGCGCCATAAGTGGCGAAGGTTACCAAAAGCGCCCCGAGCTTTTGCTATACGGTTCGTGATCTCATCCTTAATCCCACGGGTGCTGATACAACTTCCCAGATAGTTGAATTTTTGAACGACCTAGCTGATCCCCCCCAAGGGTCAGCGCAGGAGGCGATCCCTGCCAATCTTGGAGGAACGCTTTGCATTTCGACTGTGCAAAGCAAAGTCCGAGGCAGCTGACAGCCAGTGCTAATCTGTCGTTCAGGTTACAGAGAAGATTAAAATTGCAGTCCCAGATAACAAAATGATAGTCCTTCGGGTTGCGGAATCATCAAGCGAATAACAAACACAGAAAAGAGGGAACGAAGAGAAAAAAACATTAGGAGCGAGATTCCGTGGATAATGGATTCCGACGGCAGCCTGTTTCCGGTAGAAGCTTAGTCTCTGGAGAATTCGCCGACAGCCGCGGACTCAATAATCTGGGAAATCACACAGTGTAGTGGATGGTTGTTCGCCGAGAGAGTTTCTTTGTCCCTCCCCATCCCTTTAGGCTCCCCTCCAACCACGATCTCATTTCGTAGCGTAGTATAATTTCACATAATAATTTTTCTTGTTGCCTAGTAGCCAGCTGGTAGATTTCCGGAACGATGCCCATCCGACTTGTTCGTTATGAATGACGTTAAAGGTCATGTTGGAACTGACGTAACTCCTGGCCAAACCACGGTATACAAACCACCGTATGACATCATGATTCAATCCCGTTGCAAGATATCCTCATACCTCACGTAGTATACCCAAGTAACCGGTGGCTGGATGCAGTAAAGAGTAGAATCTAACAGTTTCTAACATCAGAAATGTCATAATAGAAAGGATCGCAAGCAGCCATGTTCAAGGCTCTGCATAAGAAGTACCAGATGGCTTACCGATGGCCACGATGTGTATGAAAGTAAAGTGGCATATTTAGAAAAGGATAAAAGACAGAGTAAACAGAATAATAGAAGCATATAAACTGTATAGTTATGCGATGGATGCTCACCTGGTGAGTCGACTTGTTCAGACTGTCTTTGTGCATCTTGATTTTTTTGATTCGTTGATGATAATAATTTGCAGCAATGTCGCGAAATTCACCCTCCAATCTGTGGGGTGAGGGAGCAATGATACATAAAACGCAAGACCATAATCAAAATGAACAAGTTTGACCAACTGCTCATATGCAGCAGGCCAATAAAAGGCGCCTGGAAATACAAGCTGTATCGCATAAGACAGTAGTATGGCCGACGATGATCACATTACAGAAATGTTAAGCCGAAAAAATGAAGCTTCTACTAATAACCATTGCAAAGTCCACATTTACGGACAGCGTTACTAGTGCCTCATTGCCATGACATTATAATTATCAAAAGAATCAAGCATAATTGCTGCGCTTAATGTAAGTTTATGCATGGAAAGAGCAAGACGAGAATGCTATCGCAGTTGACAGTGAGTTAGTCGGTAGAGAATGTAATGTTCATTCATCCAACAGTTAATTGCATGAGAAATTTTAAGGGAACACATCATCATCATCAATACACGTTAGCCGAGGGTGAGAAATACACCTCAGCTAATGTGCCGCAATACAAAAGGAAAAGAGATGAAATATTACAGATTACAAGGGCTAGAAAAATAACATAATGCCAAAAGCATCTTACGCAGAGTTTGAGATCGTTGTTGGAGGGGAAAGCTAAAGGGGATGGGAGAGAAAATGAGACTCACAACACAAACCCTATTGAGGTCAGTACCTTGCCATGTCGGCTAGTGTATCCAACAAAAAGTGTTCATCGTCATTCGGACTTCAGTCCGGAGAGAAGGGAGACTTACCAGAAAGCCTAAATGTCCTAAGCAAACATTCAGGGTAAAGGCGCATAGACCTTGTCAATAACATACCATCACAAACAACTGGCTATCGTGCAAAGATAAGGCGGCATCAGCGAGAAAGCTTCCTTGCGGCTTCCACTGCAACGCGTCATAATCAGCCATTACCCCATAGATAATTCAGGATAAAACACACTTTAAACAGTCCGATCAGGAGACGCCAGCAGACGCGCCAATGGTGTCGGCTGATTGCTATGTCTTCTAAAATCTCAGGACAGGCACAAGGCCGGTTACGTGGACTTCAGTCTGGAAGGCAATAAGGACCAACGGCACCCAGTTTGGTCGTCAGTGACTTCATTTCCCGCTGCTAAGTCAAATTCTGTACACCTCGAGACCTGTGCCAGCCTACACCTGGCAGACTAAACAAGGACCTAATAGGTACGCGGTGACCAGGCATACGTAGCACGTGACCAAGCCAACGCAACTTATTCAGTGCTACCTGTTGTTCTGGGAAGTTAGCATGATTATCACTACCTAGTACTCGCCTACGTATATCATCACTGCGGACACGCTGGTGCCATCCGACATCAGCAACGCTCCGCAGGCAGCGATGATCAAAGACTTGAAAACGCCTCAGATCCTCAGATCGAGGGGGCCAAGTCTCATTCCCATAGAGTATGACGGTCCTCACTGTGGCCTTGTAAACACGGCCTTCCAGTCGGAGGGAACCCCTTTTTGTCCTCAAAGAGGTCGTAGATTCAAAACGGCAGTTCTAGCTTTTGAAATGCGTGAACTAAGTTTAGTTTCTATGGGCCATCGTTGCTGATACAGCTGCCAACTACCTCGAGTTCATCGCTATCTACGGTCAAGGGATCATCATGTGGCTGGTGGTCCATAACAACACTTTGAAATTTGAAGGTGCGAAGTGAATGTCAAGTGATAGGACCACTCTAAGGAAGCTAATCAGAGTTGATAGTGCAGCCAAACATTGTTAAAAAACAGGACAATATGGTCCACATAATAAAGATCAACTAGCATCTCAACGCCTAGATCGCGAAATTCCGTGAGGGAACACTCCATGATGCAGGCCACTACGAAGTTGAACAAAAATGGGGGAATTGGACAACCCTGATGAAGGCCACTTGTTGTCGGAATGGCATCCGATAATTCACCGTAGACCGTGACGCGGCCTGTGGTGTTCGAGAACAGAGCACATAGAATGTTCACATATTTCGTGGGAACATCTTTGCACGCAAGTATTTCGAACAGAATGCATCGGTCAACTGAGTCGAACGCACTTTTGAAGTGCAGGAACATAGCTATTACCGGTCTGCGATATGTGTGGCGCTGCTCTAGCACCTGTCGCAGCGTGAATATGTGGTCTATACAGCCAGTTCTAGGACGGATACCTGTTTGCTCTTCCCCAGTCCGGAATTCTCGTTTCGCAGTGAGGCGATGAACGAGGAATGAGGCTAGTAATTTTGTCACAACTAGCGTTAGGCTAATACCCCTGTGGTTAGCATAGTCGGTGTGACTACCCTTGTTGTATGTTGACATTATAATCGAATCAATCCAGTTAGCTGGGACTGTCTATTCCTCCCAGATATGTCCGAACAGCCGGGTCAGCGCACTGCGGAGGACCTCAACACTATCCTTAAATACAGCGGGTTCAATGGAAAGCGGACTGGCAGAACGGAAGCCATTGATGGAGCCGCTAAAGTAACCGGTCATATCACAGCCTGCACTACCAGAGTAGAGGTCAGGGAGAGAGGGGCCAACTGAACTACTCCAGAAAATGCTCCGTCCGAGGATCCAACCGGCGCTCCTTTTTAAGAATCAAGTCACTTGGCCTGTCTGATTACTCGCTGACAGCCGGGTTTTCTGGGCCAGTGGTGCGGATAAGTTGGAAGAGCTTGCGATGAATGCCTAGTGCTCCTGCTCCCTCAAGTTCGAGAGACCTACTAGTCCACCAGGCTTTCTTGTCAGCACGCAGTCTCCGCTTTAATTCGAGTCTAATAGTCCGTCTGGTTACATTGTGCTCAGAGCCAGCCGGATATCCAGTGACTGATGCGGTGACGACTGATAGTGCCGCAAGCAGCGGCTACCGCGTCATGCATGGCAGACGAGATCCTATCCCATTGAAGCTCAGTGCCGTTAGGACGAGAGAGCGAAAGTTCGGTGAGCAGAGCATCTTAGTAGGTATACCTGACTCTGGCTTGGATAACTTCTCAGTTTCCAATCCAGAGAGATGCCTCGTGAGCTTCCCAGTAAAGCTCAAGGAAAAACGACAGCATACAACGCAAGTATTTCAAAACAACCAAGAATACAGGATGTAACCAAGCCACCCGTAACTTATGGCAGTGTAATCTATTTAAACCCATCGCTAGTTAGCTACAGATGGATGTTAAGTATCACTTCGGCACCCACTGTGTCTAGAAGTAGTGCTACTAAGCGTTATGAGGACGCACAAGTCATGATTCAGATAGTTCACTTTGCTGAGTTTACAATCGGGACACCCACGCTCATATCCGACAGGCACACACTTCCTCCGACGTTCACAGCATTGCGTGTGAATCCTATTTTCAAGTACACACCCACGATTACTGGGACCCTTTTCCTCGCCTTTTCCTTGTATACACTTCCGTAACATATGTCGTCAGTTTCGGTAGAAAATTGTGGCTATGCGGCTATGTAATCGCCATTACGCTGGGTCGTAAAAGTAAATGTACGTCTTCTTTCGCTGCCCTTGGGGTTGGGTGCGTGGGTGAAAATCAGTATACACTGCGAGTATCCGCTAGCGTGTTCCGTCTAGTTCGCGAGTAACAACAAGTGTGGTCCGTCTCATCCGGGGGTACAACGATCAAGCCGTTACATTACTGAGAAATAGCCGGTGCTTCGCACACAGCTGATAGAGAAGCTTGCCGTTGTCCACAAGGTAATATTTAATTCCATACTTACCATTTAGCTGAGTTTCTGGAGAGTTCAGACGACCTACTTGCGCAATCATATCAACAACGATATCAGAACCGTTAGCACTGTGTAGTAGTGTGTTCACTTCGTGGTAGCATGTGGTCTTAGTAGTAGCAGAACTGCAGTCAGAGGGAGCATAAGTGGAAACCATAAACAAACAGCGTTTAGCACTACTTCAACGATGCACCCTAATTGGTATCGTCAAACGGGCTGCACACAAATGGCTTTGCACGGGAATCCAATCAACCAACGATGACTCAGCCTTGGAGCTGAGAACAATGCCCACTCTAGCCTGACTAGTGGTTGCCGCATCAGCATCTACGGATGCGTGCAGCCAATAGCGAAAGGACAAGCCTGGTGCAGTTAGTTCAATAATCCCGTGACGGTCATGATTCTAGTTTCGGACACTAAACACACATCAATGCCTATTATATCCAACGTGCGAGCGAGTGCAGCCTATAGACTTATTTCTCTTAGGATGCGAACGCTGAACGCCACGATGGAAACAGGACAGCGTGGCCCTGTAAGGGGTTGTTGGCGAATGCCTTCCAGTGGATGGTGTGGGAAGGTGGCTGCAGATGGCATGACTCCAGTGGCAAAGCAGTTGCTGTTGATCAAGTTGGGAATGATTGAAAGGATGCTAGTAAAGGGAGTCTGGAGGAGAGTAAGAGAAACATGTGGAAAGAAAAGAAGGAAGGCGCCAACAGTAGCATGTTTTGTTTATCCACCCTACTGTATGCAGTAGATAATAAGGCGATCGTAGTATAGATGCGCGAAAGCGCCGAGGTAGGATGTAGTTGAAGTCTGAGAAGATAGTCATATTTGTACGTGGGATGAGATACTCCCAGGGCGCCCAAACCCATACAGGAGAACGGTTGCGGTTCCGAACCAAGGGTTTTGGCTTAAAAGCCTGTCCACAACGCAACGGAAAGGTGGCAGTGATTTAGGTTTACAGTGAAAGATGCCATGCAGTTGCAAAACCCTAACATGGAAAACCAGGAGACTGAGTTTGTTTCATCTCTAAACATCAGCCAACTTGGTAGGAGTCGCTCTCAAGAAGTCCTGCGGCCCCTACCCAGTATCGCTCAATGGGTCGAAAAAGTATACAAACCGTTGTACCACGTTAAGGTCCAGTCTCTGCGACGGCCGCATCTTGCGCTCTCTCAGATCCCAAAAGAAATTCTTCCACTGGCGAAAAAGGGCAGTTGCATGAGTCTTGGCCTGGAAGAAATGACATTTCCACTTATTCAGGCGCCAATCTAGTTTGTCTATTGATCTGTCCTTAAGACCGTACTTAGCCGTAGTAACAATGGCCAAAGTCGGTAAGGATGTCACTGGTCTAAATCTACTATGTTGCGATTATGATATCAAATACGTGCCGAGCCGTTCTAAGTAGCGGACGCCCTTTCTTGGCTTCCGCTATCCGAGCAAAGCGCCGCAGAACTCAATCCTTAAGGGACAAGCGTTTATTCGGCAAAGTCAACTAAGCCAAAATTAAGGCATGCTTGGCAAGCCAAACTTCTCGATATAAGTTGCACATTCACATCCGTAACTAACGACACTGGTTCGGTTAAACAAACGGTGAATAACTCAGAGGAATGTCGAACAATCCATGTCCAGTAATCGAACCAGTTACGTCCATCTTCCATTGGCTGTCTGGCCTACTCGGTTGGTGCATCCGTTCAATGTGATCTGACACCACTATCACACAAGGGGAGCGTGAAAACTTGGAAGAAGGACAATACCCCACCACTCGAATGGAACATTTTCGGCAATAACATTTGTTCGGATAGGAGACAATGCTGTCCTGGTAAAAATAAAACAGTAAATAGCTACTTCATTGTCAAACCGTGCGAAAATCCAGTATGGATTACATTTTATACTCTTCGGCACGAGCTGTATTCTGTAAACAGTTGAAATGTGTGAGGTGAAAAGTTTCCAATACAAGGGACCTTAATTCCGTCAGTGCTTGAGTGCGCTCATGAAGGCTACCCGGGTAGTGTGCGAACACAAAACCCGGATACGCCAATACGGCTGGTGACCGATGCTGAGCCAATGGTACGAGAATGCTACGTCTGCCAGCAATCCGACAAAAGTGCAAGGCCGCTGGACTCTTCAATCCAGCCTACTTAGTACCCAATGCAACCCTGAGCAAAAAATCCTAGTGATATCATGGGAACATACGTGAATACACCCCCACCAAAACGAAATGTGCTAGTTGCTATCTGTCTCTACAACAGATAGTTGGAGGCCATTTTCTGTGGGGATGTCACTACAGGTAGTAAATAGCCCTGCTAGTTGTTCGCAAGGTTTGTGTTGTCAGAAGGAATAGTAGCTGGTAACGGACCAGAGTTCCGAAGCAATGAGTATACCGAGTTTCTGAGGAGCTATGGTATCTGACATACTAGAACGGCATCTTAGAATCCTGCCGCTAATAGTTTAGTCGAAAGACGCAATCGTACTTTGAAGGATTCTATGCAAGTTCTTCCGCTTTCGGGAGCATCCTGGGACGATGCACACAGTACAGAGACGAAAACCCCGTCCGAACAAATGCTAGAGTGAATAGTTCGAACTTCGTTGAACACATCCCTTCGATTTGAAGAAAGCCGACCAAGAAGAACATGAAAGGCTTCTTACCAGGCTAAATACAGAAATAAGAAAAACATACACCACATGGACATTCTTTCGTATGGGGGCTACTCTGCTCTCGGAAGAGGTAGGACTATTGGACTTCCGACCCATAAAGAATTAGTTCCCATGCAATGGACCTACAAAATGATAGATGTAACAACAATGTAAGCCAAAGAATTTCATACAGCCCTTACACAAAGCATGTCAGAACAGATGAACACTTACGCAGTACAGAACACAGAGTACAACGATCAGACCGGATGTATTGTCGTGTCTCCAGTTATGCTTTTATAGGCAACACTAAACGATGCTCTTGAAATTTTTGGTGAGTGGCACATTTACATGAATTGCTTACACTCATTTAAACAGAGGAGGGGGAAATGTCGTGTTCGCCACCCTGCGTCTCAAGTGGCCAAGTTGACGCGCTTATGCCATTGACTTGTTACGCTGCCTTTATCATCTAACAAAAATAAATGGATCATGCGTGTCCGTGCACGTACATATGACATCATCACAAGTGTTGAAACCAGTACCCCGTGTTTTTGATGGTGACCAAACTACCGTTCGGTTACGAATTCAATTCTCCGCCTCTTTGGTCACACCGACAAAGGGTTACGCTCAAGCCTATCAACCAGTATCGTTAGGTCAGTCAGAGGATAGGAGCGAACACTTTGTCCATTGCATGGAGATCAAAAGATACAGGAAAAAGAGCCGGTGTAAGGACGCATACAGATGTTGAGCCAAGGTGTTCAGTGAAACCCACTGTTTAATCAGTCTTAGCAACAATTATCGCATAGTGGAAGATAATCTCATGACTTTAGCTACAACCACCAAAAGGATGATGTCTGTTGCGTAAAGCAAACGGAATGCAGCTATTCAATAAGTCAACAAGCATGTCAAAAATCACTGGCCCACTGTTGCCTGTTTCGATGAGATTATTCCCATGTGGTCTGCACTAGTCGTCACATTTTTCGGCATTCTCCGAGTTCACTGATGCCTCAGGGTAAACACGCTTCGCCAGTTCCACTCTGGTAATTTAGATACACGCAGTATAAAGAAGGGTGCAAGCTGGTGTGTCTGTAAGCACGTTATGCACCGCGATAAACAATAGCATACCTGACTAGATGTAAAGGGATTTTGAGGTGATGCAAATGCCCGAGATACGACGAAGTAAGCAGTCTCAGAATGACTGATTTGAGGTACAACTGAAACAGACGCATTGAATACCTATTCGGTCAATATCGATGTGATCGAATATATAGTTTTCAGAATAAGGGTCATCCACAATGAGTGCCTGAAAATCCCAATAAGTAAGGAAAAGGTGAATGACCACAAATTTACTTCCTTCGGCAAAACAGATCTCGTACTGTCGAGTGCCTACGAATCCTCGCAACTGCAGTGTCCTGGGGGAGCAAAAAGTGCACTGATGCAAGAACACTAATTATCCACTGATCAGTAAGAAGATCTGGGAAGTGATCCGTATGAACAACCAGGAAAGTGAGGAAAGAAATGAAAAACGGGAAAAGGACCTGCAGAAATTGTGGAAATGAGCCTACTTTGGGAAGTTAGATGTTACCTGACAAGATCAGGGCAAAGTAAATGAGAATAAATGAAGGATTATTATTGGGGCAATGCGATGCCCTTCCCGGAGGGAATAAGCTCTTCCGATGTAGGTAAGTGTTACGGAGAGAGCTTACAGCTAGCAATCAAGCCGAGAGCAGTGCCGTAAAAGTGCATCGATCTGCAATTAGAGATCGAGCTAGACTATAGATCAAAATGCGAATTGATGCGGAATCAGAGGCAAGTTGGATCAGGAAGTTGAACCATTTGAGTTGTGTTAATTAACGCCAATTAGCATCTCCAATAGTGTTGTTTAAGTAGTTGCTCACACCCTATTTATTGGACCGTGCTCTCATACAATAAGCCTCTCTGTCTACCGAACCTTGGTCTTCTGCATTCCTTTGGTGGGCTGGGCGCGTGACTGAGCAGTCAGACAGTCGCAGTCTCAAGGGGCAGCTAGCAGCAGTACAACAGTCGTCAGAGGCAGAGAGCAGAGGTAAAGAAAGAAGCGTTACAACAGTAAGCTCAATTGGTTAGTAGCAAATTGACAGAGATTGCCTGTTAAATTACGTGTGAGCCAAACTCTGATTGGGTAAACTCTGAGGTGATCACAAATAAATAAATTACGATGAAGATTCCAGATGAAAGGGCCATGTTTTTGGCCGTTTGTTCTGGTTAACAAGCCCTTTTCAACAAGGTCCTTGTCTTCCAATTTCCAAGTTGGACTAAAGTTGACGAAGAGTCTGATAGCAATAACCGGAATCGCACGCGGAATGAACATATGACAATGATACTCCGCTCTTTAAGTGGCACTTGATGTATCCAATGAGTCATGTTCCAACAAGTGCTTGGAAAAGAGATCCTACTCGCTAGCCAGTTAAGTGGTTTAGTCATATAATGGTCATTACATTAGGCTACAAAGTGAGACGTAGAACGAAATATGAGCGACGACACGATTCGTGAGCTGTCAAATACATGGCAATAACAAGATAAAAACATGTGCACGTGGTGAGACGGCTGCTTTTGTTTATACCTATACAGTGAAAGCTTGGAGAAAATCTCGTCGACAGGGAAGGAATCAATGACTATAGGGAAATTCCGGTAATTCTTGCAGACAACTCTTAGTGAAGCGATATGAAACACTACTAAGTCATGTCATGTCAAACCATTTGCGGATAAGTAATAATTTGTGGAGTGGCATTGAAAGAGCGCGTAGTTCCACTATTTGGCTCCGAGTACTGTAATAATGAGACTTACCTGGTGATGCAACCATACAGCAAGTTGGTGTGTGACAGGACGAACAAGTTCTTCCCAGGCAGATCACATTTTGAACAGAGAGCTTGAGCGCGTTCCATTGCATTCAAATCTTCGCCCAGAGGAAGCAGCGCACGGGTTTGAATGAGGATCAAAACAAGTTTGCTCTCACGGCCGGCCAAGTTAGACCTAACATGGGGAAAAGTAAGAGCGCGGAAACATAGCCGAGTCGCTACCTACCTCACAGTCTCTACGAGACGAGCACACTCAGACGATCGCTCATCCCAGTGAGGTTCTGCCCAATCCAAGGTGAAAAAGACAGCGACAACAGCAGGCACATTTTCTAGATGCTTTCGCATCCACCCAGTTTTGAGAATTCCTTTGGGTAGAAACCAGTCCTGAGCTCCTGCCGGCTGGGACCAAATGAGGGAACAAAGCGAACAGAAAATGCTGCTTGGGATCAACATCGAGCACTATAGAGAAGGATAGCTTGGGTACAAAGATTGCTAGGGAGGCAAAGTTGAGTGCAGTCAAACCTGTCTAACGTGACCACACAAGGGACCGACAAAAAGTGGTGGCGTTGCACAGGAGGTCGGCACGGACAGATTCATGCATAGGTACATTACTCCTAGGAGAGAAGGTTGGGAGTGGGAGACAAGTGGTCGCCATTTCAGGTTGGAATGTATTTATATAGGTGTCGTATACAACGTAGGATGTTTGAATAGACTGGTTTTCACACTAATACTGAGTGCAACCCCAACAGTGTCTGAGGACAGAGGAACACCGACAATGTCTTCGCTAGTGAGACTAATTTAATAGAAGTTTTTGAAGGTGCACAACGGCGATCGATCACGACAGTTGTTCTCAAATGGATAACAGTTGATCGAGATGTGAGGGACTCCGTTTCCACAACGTCTATTCATGGTATGATAACGCATGCAGAGCCTGCACAATTTGTTTGACTTATTCGCATGTGATCGATCGTTAATCAGATTAACTCGAAAGATTAAAACGAAACCGAACGCAAAGCAAGACATAGCTGACAACGTAAACGAAGTCCATCAATACCGACTTGTATACGTCAGCGGAAAAGTGACCACCAGATAGACTGATAACACAAAGTGCCGAAAGAAATCGAATAACCTTGAGCTTTGGCCTCGGAAATTGGTGGTCCACCGGAAGACAATGAAATGCAAGGGGATCGCGGTCATAGCCTCGGTTACAGGTGAAAGCCTTCCATACAGAGCGATGAACTTGGTTGCCTTCAGTATCCAACCCAGAGAGGACCACAAGGGGTTCGGGTTTACTGCAGAGCTCCTGAGGCAATCTTGAGATATGTTGCATCAAACTGAAGCGAAATGCTGAAAATTAAAGAAGCGCACTCAGCAGCAAGAAAAGAAATGCTTTACGTAGGGTTTCTATCTCAGTGGAACTAGACCTCAGTTTTAGGACGGTCTGCGCACATCTCCGATCTAGTGAAGCATGAAGCATTATGCTAAAATTCCAGAGCTACAAATGCGAGATAGGTAGACGAACAGAAGTTAGTACAGTACATCTGATTAACTGTAGGTTCCAGTGAAAGTGGAACAGAAATTAGTTGGTCCTTGGATCAGAGATAGAAAAAGACTCAAAGTTTAAATGAAACTAAAAGGAAGTGCACGGATCAATAGTAGACATCAAGCAGCCAGCTGATGCCCAACATAATCTATAATAGCAGTCTGAGGGACAGATCACACAAAAATCACAGGAAGAGTATTATAAAAGACGATAACACGGTTCAACAATTATTTTTCAGTTCCGGTGTGATCAATTGAAACCTGTCTCGATCTATGGAGTAGCGCCGAAACCCAGGTGACCTACCAGGAATCGAGGTTTATCTTTCCATGAGCATGCAGCGTAAGGGGAAGGTGCCTGGACAAGGCAGTAGCTCAGTGTATTCTTTCATTTATTTAGGTTTTCTGTTTATCATCCGTTTACCGAAGTGCGGTAGGCCCATTTTTCAAAACACACAACAACCACACAATAACAACAAGTACGACAGCGAAAACAGTAGTGCAAAAAGAGTAAGCAGGAAATAGGATTACTAGACGAAATGATTATGGGGCTGGAAATAAGGGAGCAGATGCAACGGCAAAATTGACCCCGCGGTTGTCATATCCGACATAGCAGCAAGCCACTGAGGTGGACGGTACCGAAGTCCCCGTCCGAGAAGGCGACAAGCGCCGACATTACTCAACCATTCAGTGAATTTCTCTATTCATTCCTGCCATCACAATCACAAACCACGTCGGGGTTTCATCTAACTGGGAGCAGCATAGGAGAGTAACACTGAGAAGGCCGATCAGAAGGCATGAGGAGCCCATGACTGAACTGATGAGGGCGATTCGCGTTAAACAGGCACTCAGACACCAGAGAACCTATTGCAAAAGAGAATGATGCAACCTATTGCAACGAGACTGGACTTTAACGTGGTGCGACGGTTTGTGCACTCCTTGAACCATTGAGCTATACTGGGTGGTGCCCCTGGCCCCTTGAGAGTTACTGCTATCAGGTTGGTCAATCGTTAGAGGTCAGAAAAACTCAGTCTCCTGATCCTCCAAGTTGCAAATGGGGCGGCATCCATTGCTGTAAAACGAAGTCATTGTTACCGCCCCGCTGCCTTGCGGACAGGCTTTTGAGCCAAATGGTTTGATTGAGGACCCTAATCGTCCTCCTACCTGGGTCTGGGCGCCCTGACAGTATCTCAGCCTACCCACAACGATGACAATTTCCTCAAACGTTAACTACATCCTCCATTGGTCGTCGCGCAGCTTATCAAGGGTCGTCTTATCTGCTGCATACTGAAGGGCGGATAAGCGAAAACATGCTACTGCTGGCGCCTCCATTCCTTCCTTTCCACTTATTTTTCTTACTCCCATCCCAACCCCCATTACTAGCCTGCTTTATGTAATTCCCAGCTTAATTGACAGCAGCCACAATGCCACCGAAGTCGGAGCATCTGCTGATCCCTTCCCGCAACACCCACTGGAAGTCAACAGGCAACAGTTCTTTATAAGGCAACGCTGCCCCGTTTCCGAGGCGGCGTTCAGCATTCGCACTCTGAGGCAAATATGCCAATAGGCCGCACTAGCACGCACGTTAGACGCAATGGGTAGTGAAGTGTGTTGAGTGTCCGAAACTAAGATCAATGACTCTAATAGGGTTGTTGAATTAACGGCGCCCAGCTTGTCCGCTCGCTATTGGTTGCACACATCCGGAGACGCTGATGCAGCACTCACTGGTCAAGCTGGTGTAGTATGGTTCTCAGCTTCAAGTTTGAGTCATCGTTAGTTGACTGGATTCCGGTGAACAGCCGTTTGTGTGCAGTCCGGTTGACGACATTAACTAAGGTTGATTCACAAATAGCTCTATGCGCTGTTTGTTTGTGGCTTCCACTTACTTCCCTGTCGAGTGCAATACTGATGCTGGCAAGGACACATTCCATCAGGAACTGAACACACTACTACGCAGCGCTACCAGTAATTGCAGAAGATATGAATGGACAAGTAGGTCGTCCGTGCGCTTCAGAAGCCCAGCTAGGTGATAATTATGGGCTTAACTTTGAAAGGACTGATAACGATGAGCATCTGTTGCAACTCTGTGCGGAGTACTAGCTGTTTTTTAGTAGCATTGCTTTCCGACACAGTGGGTGCCGAAGTGCTATTTAGAGGCCTCCTGTAGCTGGCCAGCGATGGGCCCAAATTGATCACACTGTCATAAGTTACAGGTGGCGTGGTTCCACCCTGGACTGCCGTGCGTACTGGAATACCTTCGACGACTGTGATCATGCCTTGGTACGCTTGTTTCGCCATGAACTTTACCGGAAGGCGCAACAAGCGTCTCCCCCGATTAGCAACTGAGAAATTGTCTCAGTCCTTGGTCAGACAAGCATACCAGAATGCACTGCGTACCAAACGTACGCTCACTTTCCTAATGACGCTGAGCTTCATTGGAATAGTATTTTGTCTGCCATGCGCCACGCAAAAGCGTCTGCTTGTGGTATAATCAATCGTCACCGCACCAGTCACTGGATATCCGAGAGATCGGTGGACCTGTCGAAATTCAGAAGAACGCCCCGCCTGGTTCTAAGCACAGTGTGACTTGAGGGACTATTAGGCGTGAACTAAACCGGAGCATGCGCGCTGACAATGAAGCCTGTTGAACTAGTGGGGCTAAAGAAATGGAGGAGGCAAGAGCAGTAGGCAATTATCGCAAGCTCTTCCGGCTGATTTGCACCAGTGGTCCCAGGAAACCAGGCGTCAGCGACAAAACCAGAGGCAACGCGAGGAGACTGACACATAGTAAGGAGTGCGGTATGGCTCTTCTGGCGGAACGCTTCCAAGATCAGTTCGGCTAGCTCCCAGCTCCCGGACCTCTTTCTACTCAGGTGATGCAGGAGGAACCATGGACGGCTCATTTAGAGCCTCAGTCGGAGGCCGAGGTCCGAAACGCGATTACAGCCCACAATTGTTTTCGTGCCGCTGGCCCGGATTCCATCCCACATACACTATTTAAAGATGGAAGTAAAGTCCTCTGCAAAGCACTGACCTACCTATTCGAACATATCTGGAAGGAAGTGTCCCGGCCAACTAGAGTGAATCGATTATAGTGGCAATATATCTGAAGGATAGTCGCACAGACTGTGCTAACCACAGGAGTATTAGCCTAACGCCAGTTGTGACAAAATTACTAGCCTCATTCCTCGTTCGTCGCCTCACTGCGAAACGAGAATCCCGGACTGGGGAAGAGCAAACAGGTATCCGTCCTAGAACTGGCTGTATAGACCACATATTCACGCTGCGACATGTGCTAGAGCAGCGCCACGCATATCGCAGACCGGTAATAGCTATGTTCCTGCACTTCAAAAGTGCGTTCGACTCAGTTGACCGATGCATTCTGTCCGAAATATTTGTGCAGAAAGGTGTTCCCACAAAATATGTGAACATCCTATGTGCTCTGTTCTCGAACACCACAGGCTGCATCAGGGTTTACGGTGACCTGTCAGATAGATTTCCGACCACAAGTGGCGTTTGTCAGTGTTGTCCGATTTCCCCCTTTTTGCTCAATTTATCGTGGACTCTATCATGGAGTGTTGCTTTACGGAATCTCACATAGACGTTGTGGTCCTGTTTGGTGAAAAGTTAGTTGATCTTGATTATGCGGACGATATCGTCTTATTTTTTGACGATGTTGGGGTAGCCCAATCAACCCTGAATAGCCTGTCTAGAATAGTCTCACCATTTTGCATGCGCTTGACACCCTCAAAGTGCGAAGTGCTGCAGCAGGACTGCCAGCCACTTGATGACCCCCTTGACCAGTGATAAGGATGAACTCGAGGTGAATCAGTTCACTGACCTTGACAGCTGCATCAGCAGCGATGGACGCATAGAAGCTGAAGTCAGTTCACATATTGCAAAAATCAGAACTGCCTTTTAAATCTGCGACATCTGTGGCGCCAGAAACGGGTTTCCCTCCGTCTTAAAAATGTGTATACAAAGCCACAATGAGGGCCGTCAACTCTATGGGAGTGAGACTTGGCCCTCCGATCTGAGGACTTGCGGCGCCTTCAAGCCTTGAGCAGACTTGCCTGCGAAGCATTGCTGGCCTCGGATGACACAAGCGCGTCCGCAACGATGATGCGCATAACGGAGTGTTAGGCAGTTCCTTAGGCTAGTTCCTTAAGATAACAAATAGAACTGAATACGTTGAGTTGGCTTGAGTGCGTACTGCGTATGCCGGTCACCGATTACCCGGAAGAACTTTGGTTTGTTTGTCAGATGTAGGGTGGCGCAAGGCTCGAGGTGAACAAAAGTTATTTTGGCAGCAGAAAAAGAAGTCAGTGACTACCAAACTCGGTGCCGTCGGTCCGTCTCGCTTTCTAGGCTGGAGTCCACGTCACTCGCCTTGTGCTTGGCTCGAGGCTTTGCAATAAATGGCTTGTAGTCGACACCTGTGGCGAGTGTGCTGCCGTCTCCTAGTCGGACTGTCTGTTGAAAGCGTGTTTGGTGCTGAGCTATCTGGGAGTAATGGCTGATTGTGACGCATGGCAGTAAAAGCCACAAGGAAGCTGTCTCGCCGATGCCACCTTACCTTTGCACAATAGCCAGTTGCTTGTGATGGTATGTCGTTGGAACAAGGCGTAGACGCCTTGACCCTGAATGCTTGCTTATGGCATTAAGGTTTTCTGTTAAGTCCCCCTTCTCTCCTTTTGTTATTCATCGTTACGCAGGTGGTTATGGTGGATGTACTTTTGTTGATGATTCTTACCGGGGCCCGTCCATAGCAGCCATGGTAGCTAGCTCTCT